GTGTGCTGCCACTCAGAGGACAGTGGCAGGTTTGTTACTGAAAACTATCAAAATATGCAAGTACTACTTTTTTAAAACTAGTTACCTTCGCCATGGGTGGAGGTTATGTTTTGGCCAGCGTTTGTTGCTTTTTTTGTTTGTTAAAAACTCAAAAAGCAGTGAAGAGATTTTGATGAAATTTGATGGAGAGGTAGATTATGACCCATGGAACAACTAATTAGATTTTGGTGCTGATCTGTATCATAATTTGGATTTTTTTTTTTAAAGATTATTCACCACTGTAAGTGCTGGAAAGGCTGCTGACTGACTGTGAGACCCCTTGTGGCCAAAGTGTGCTGCTGCGCTGCTAAACACTCCAATATACAGAGAGAAATCCCTGGGTCAGCGACAGCTTCCCATTCACTGTCAATGAAAACCGAGGGCTGTCACTCAGTACACCTCACTGTGTGAGACAGGCACTGAAGGAGCCCTACGAGGCGACGGCCCAGAGCTGGGGAAAGATGTACTCTATGCAGCAAGACCCTGATGACAGAGATTTTGACCCAGACTCACAACTGTTATCATTTTCATTCATAGGACTGGTGTTATGCCACTTTATTAAGTTCTGACATTTCAGGTGAGGAAGTAATTTGTTGTCAGTCTATCCAAGTAATGTCAATTTAGAAATTTGCAGAATATTTGTAATAATGTTTGATTATATAAGAATATTCTGGGTACTTTTCCTCTACTGTCCACAGTGAATAATATCAGATTGCTAAGCCTGAAGTTGTTTATTGGAACCTGCTGAAAACAAAAAATAAGCGCATTTAATTTTACACTGTCTCTGACCTCATCCAGGTACTTCTCTCTGATGTTGTTCATCTCCCTCCTGTGCTCCTCCCTCAGTTGCTCCAGCTTCCTCTCGTGATCACGCTGCACTTCCTCGCGCACTTCATCCAACTAGACAGTATTAGTAACGGTCAGTTTACAGAAAAAAGTTAGAATATTGTGAAAATTTACTTAAAAATTCAAGCCTTTGCTCAAATTCAGAAAGAAATGCACATTATGATCATGTAATTCTGTTTGTACAGAATTCATCTTGGTGGTTGGGGGTGGGGGAGGGGTCTCTAACCTCTTGGTGGTACTCTGCTGCCAGGTGTTGTTCAGGTCGTGGACTCATCATCAGATCCTTCCTCCTCTCCCTGCTTTTAACCTTTATACAGACAAGACAGTGCAAACACAGAGACGGACACATTTACACAGATCATTACGCTGTGAACCATGAACCATCACAATAGAACAAAGCTTGTGGTTGTTTCCAGCTTTATCTGGTGTTTAGACAAATTCTACAACTTAAACTCCAAATGGGTCAGAGTTCATAAAGTGTTATTAACTGTCATTAAAAAAATAGAACAATACTGCCCAATCACACTCAACTACATGTGGTATGTAATACATACATATTTTCATGGATTTGTAACAAAAATATGTTGGTAAAACACTTAACAGCACCATCATAAATCCACACGCTTGCTGTTCACTAACAATGTCTGGCAGGAAATAAACTTGAAGGAGAACTGTACTAAACAAAACATACCGTCTTCCTCTGCCTCTGAACTGAATCTACATATATCCATGCACAAGAATGGCTTCTGAAAACAAAAGATCCACTTTGCTTAACAATACCTTTCTAATGATTTTCTTTGCCTGTGTAGAGCACTCTGAAATGTCTTGCTTAATAACAATGACAATATTTGACTTTTGTAATTCACTGATCTTAGATTAAATTCTATGTTGCACTAACAGATGTTTGTCAAGCTCCTAGTATTTGTGTTTAGCTTCAGCTTCGGTTTGTTTGGAAAGAGACACCCCTCATTACTCATGCACAAAAGTGATCTCAAAGCAGTCATGTCCTGTGAAAAAACAAGATGTAAGCATTGAAATGTTAATAATTAAAAGGGGGATGAATAGATGAATGAATGAATGAATGAATGAATGAATGAATGAAATGTTGATTAAAAGGGGAAAAAATAAAAAATGAACTGGGCCCAGACAGGTCAACATCATCCTGAGTCACCTCCTGGTCCAGACAGTTCAGTTTCTCCTCCCTCTCTCCCTGGAGTCTCTTTCTCTCCGCTCGCAGCTCCTCTTCAGATTCTGCCCTTAGACGTTTAATGTCCTGCCTCTTCTGGGCCTCTAGCCTGTCATGCTCCTGTGAGGGGTTTTCTTTATATTGAATAGAGAGGATTAATAAAAGTATATTTCACAGTGTGAAATTTATTATGCATTAACGTATCAAAATTATGTATCAAAATAAGCATGTGCACATGGATCCTCACCGATTAGGACAAACAGAAAAGACTGTCCTCAACTTGTCGATATACAATATTTGTATGAAAAGATGCTACTATCTAATTGGTCAAAAACTGTTGGGGAGAAGCCGTGGTTTAGACTTAACTCTCCCGTTATTGGTCCTTCAGTCCGTCTGTCCTCCAATCGTCCTCTCTGCTCCAATGGTTGTGGACAGCGCCCTAGAAAGGGGAGGAATACCTATACAGCCTTAATTCCTACATACACAGTCACTTCTTCCTTTGTTTCCAACTAACTGCTCCATATTAGGCATTACTTTCTGGTTCAGCAAATAAAACTGTTCTGCCCGTGTGTGTATGTGCATGATGTTCCTACCTTTGAAGCTTTCTCCTCCGCTAGCCTCTTGATCTAATCTCTGTTTGACTAACCTTGGAATCCCAGTAAACTATAACTCCCCTGGCCCATTAGCCAGGTGGTGATAATAAATTAACTGTGGACCCTCTTAGCCAGAGCTGTAAATCTAAGGAGATTCACTGATTTAGTGAACAAGACACTATAATGTTGAAGGGTGCCTCAATGACTAATACAACAAATATTTGACCAGTGATTCAGTGAACACATAGGGTGATGTAAACATAACTGTGACATATGAGTATATAAACTTATGTGTGCCATAAAATAAAACCATTCATAAGTGCATAAAATAAAAATCACCCTAACAAATCCCTCCTTTTACACCTTTTAAGGTGTAAACCAATGTGACTTGATTATAAGCAAAACATTATAAAGGTATTTACTGGTGACTCAAACTCATGACAGTTCCAATTAAAACATAATTGCGAAAACATAGTGAAACTCATCGAGCTGTGACTTTGGACCGTTACTGGGCCTATCTAGGCCATCAGCCGACATCTCTGGTCCCAGGCCATCACAGGGAAATCTAACAAAATCAACTCAACCACAATTAGAAATGTAATAAAA